TAAAGCCCAAAAGCCTTATGCCCTGCAGCGCTGGATGGGACTCCTAGCAGAAGGCGATCCTGATTTCCTAGGTGTTGGCTTGAAGGGAGCTGTGAGCAACCGCCCGAACCATATCGAAACCATGTATGTATATCTGCACATAAATGAATACATATATATATATATATATGTTTTACATGTATGTATAGTATACCCGTTGCCACTCTATGCTATTATGTTCCATTTCTGAAACAGTGAAAAAGGTATGCCCAAGAGTTCCCTAGAATTACATCATGACATACCCCGCAAACCCTACTCTATCTTTGAAGGCCCCTAAAGGAACCCAAAACCCTGTCGTCACCCTTATAGGCCCCTTGAAAAGGAACCTTCAAATGAGCTCTAAACCCCGTAAAGAAACCGTGAACCCTAAACTCTTCAAGACACCCCTAACCCTAAACCCTTAACGATACCCCAAACCCTAAACTCTAAAACCCTAAACCCTTATAGATCCCATAAAGGAGCCCTTATATAGTATCCTTTAAAGGAACCCGTTAAAGGTACCCTAAACCCTGCGTTGTGATGCCGGCATCCCCTGGGCTAGCGCCTGAACTGCAAGCGCTAAAGCCGCGCTTCAAAGAATGGCGGCAGAACAGTCAGCAGGAAGGGACGGGAGGAGGGTTTGGGGTGTAGGGGGGTTTAGGAATAAGGGTTAAGGGTTTAGGGCTTGGGGTTCAGGGTATAGGGTTGGGTTTTAGGGCACTCTGTAAGGGGATCCTTTTTAAAGGGGCCTATCATCTACAAGGGTTTTATATGACATCTAGAAGGGTATTTACTAATGAGATGCAGGCCTTGATCATTCAGCGTTTTGGGGGGTATATGGGAGTTTCCGAAAATAGGGGGCCCTAATATTGTACCCTAAATGGTGGGATCCTTATTAGAAGGACCCCAAAGGAAACTCCCATATACTCGAATGGGCGGTGGGATACGTGAGTGTTCAAGTCCTGCATCAACCCTAAACTCGCCAACCCTACGTCCTCAACCCGACAGACCCCACCTGGAGGTTCATGGGTAGTTATAAGTGGAGTGATAAGTATGGGAACTATAATAATAACCCATATTTAGGGGACTTATAGCTCCACTTATAACTACCCATGAACCTCCAAGTAGGCCCGACACCCCAAGGCCCTCAACCCACAATACATGGAACATCTAAACCTAATCCCTCAGACACAGAAGCCCTAAACCCTGCATCAAAGCTGCTTGCAGACATATTCAGCAGGATCCGTTTGAGGCTTCCTTTAAAGGATTTCTCTAAGGGATCTTTATGCGAAGGGCTCTTAAGCAGTAGGAACCCTGCATTTAACAAAGAGTTCGTCGTGTATTAACCACACGAAAATACAAGGGAGATTCTATAATCAGAATCCCAAACGATTTTCAAGAGTATGATATGTACTGTTCGTCATTGTTATGATATTCAGGGCCCCTTCATAGCGAAGTCTTTGTTATAAGAAGCAGTGCCCCAACCTTTTCATTCGCCATATATCCTGTAGACTCTGAACCCTCTAACTTGAAAACTGAATCCCAAACTCTTTATATATACCTCAAACCCTAAACCCCTGAACTCTAAACCCCTGAACCCTATACCCTCACCCCATAAACTCTACGAGACCTAAACCCTAAACCGTTTCAGCAACCCTTGTTATAAAGCCTTCATTGCCTTGATTTTATTAATGACCCTAGACTCTGGGAATTATGGTACGTTCCTTGTGGGTAATGCAGGATTTGTATCATCAAGCATAGTAACCCTTATTAAAAACGTTAATCGTTATCTTAAGCCTTAGCCACACATAGCCTTCCTTTTCAAGGACCATTGTACAACGAAGTCATAGTAAGGAATTGCTAAACAGGTACCTAGGTGTTCTAGGGAGTTTCTAGGGTCCAGGCATACCCGAAACCGTTTTAGAGGAGGAGCCTGCCAGCTTAGTTACGGTCCCGAAAAGAACATAAGCATAAGCATGATTAAGGTTTGGGGTTTTAGAGCTTCAACCTTAACTTAGAGTTTGGGTTTTAGGGATACGTGGATATCACCCCCCCCTGGTTGAGCCTCGATAAACTTTTCTTTTAATTTGGATATCCCTATCCTGATGTTTGCTGAGGTGCTTCTGGGCGCCCCTCGTCTTAGAGGTTTCAGCTTTTCTCCCGTCGTCGTGGGCCCAAAACTTGAACCTCTGAAGCTCCTTTAGGGTGCAGGGCTTTAGGGTTTCGTGTGCAGCGTTTTAGGTTTTGGGGCGTTGGAGTTTGAGGGTTTAGGGAAAGTTTAGGGTGTACTGTTGCAGGTTTTGAAGTTTAGGGTTTAGGGTTTAGGGTTTACTGCCATCTTAAACACAAGCCTCAACCACAAGCCGTCGCAAGCCTTTCAACTCCTTACAGCCTGATTCGTTCCAACCTCTGGGAGGCAGTCACATATCTCAAGAGCGAGTTCCAGCTGCCATCCAAGATTTTGGTGTCTCTCTTTGCGGAGATGGAGAGGCGAAACATGCAGGATATAATAGCTCTTGTGTGTTTTCCAGTATCAAGCTCTCCGGAAAGGTGCGCTCAGGAAAGTTCCCTAGCTTTAGGTGTTCAGGAGTTCATGTGCTCGTGTTGGGTGTGCGCATCTATGGCATCAAAGTTCAGCTCACGTCCCACTCCTTGAATTCAGACACTGTTCAAAGGCTAGGGACCGTTACCTGGACCCCAAATAACCTACCTTTTGAAGGAGTTATACAAGGAAATCATAATGGAGAACCCTCAAAAGGAAGGTTGTGTAGGGTGCAGGTAAGGCCTGCAGGGTTTAGTCAAAGGCCCGCTTCCGGTATCCCATGACATGCCAATGCATGCCCGAATCCCCAAAACCGCACCGCCCCAAAAACCCTCGACACTACTGTTTAGGGGTTTAGGAGTTTAGGGTTTAAGGTTGGCGTTACCCAGTATAAAGAATGTACCATAGTTCCCATAGTCTAGGGAAATTAAGGTAATGCAGGATTTATATCATCAACCGTAGAAGCCACCGAAAAGCTTGAATCACTGCAAATGCCAGACCCTCGACCCTAAACCAAACCTGAACCCTAACAATTCTTAGGCTCTTCTGCTAGCCCTTGGAACAGCCCCTACAAACCCATAAACTTTATAGGCCCCAACGCCCCTAAGACCTGGGCGATCTAGGCCTAGACCCTATGAACCCTGTAGAGCATCCTTACAGCAGACTCTCGAACCCTAAACCCTGAACCCCAAAACCCTAAGCCCTAAAGACTCTTACAGTAGACCGTATCGTCATCCTTATATCAAAGGGGAAAAGGAGGGACCCTTTAATGCGGACCCCTAGGACCCCATAATGGGCTATATAATGGGTATATAATAGCTATATTAAGGGTATAAACCTAGGGGTCCTTATTAAGGGTCCCTCCGTTTACCCTTGGATTATAGGTTCCTCAGTCTAAGGAGCCCCTTTCAAGGAGCCATCTCAGCCAAAGGGGCCTAGGTACTAGGTGCTGTTATGGGGGATGCTTCCTCAACTCAGAATAGCAATTCCTAAAATGGAAATACAGTAGCCCTACAGCCCACTCAGGAAAGCTCAAGCTGAGAAGGGACCATTTCGTCGTGGCGATGGAGCACGTGGGTTTCGCAGACTTTCAGCTACAAAGCTCTGGGGGGGTGGGTTTAGGCTTCATTTTGAGGGTTCCTTGACGGGATCCGCAGGTGTTCTAGACGAGTTTGGGGTTTCGGAGGTTGAAGTTTAAGGGTCCAGTAAGTAGGGTTCAGGGTCTATGGGTCTTGGGCTTTGTTGAGGGGTGGAGGTTGAGTTTGGCGTTTTGGCTTACTATAGGGGCCACAATAATTGCCTATACTATTTTAGGAGCTCCCTATTATAATTCGAGTATAATCTACACCAAAACCTATTCTAAATATTAAGGCCTCTGTATTATAAGGTGGATGGCGCATGGAAGTCATGGCCTGTCTTTTGCACGAATAATTGGGGGGCACCAGGGGTCATATCCTGAACGACTAACCCTGAACTCTATTGTGGCTTGGGGCCCGGGATGGGAGGATGTCACTTTCATGGACATGGATTTGGGTGGCGAGGTTGAGACGGAAGGGTTCGGAAACACAAGATTGATGGCTTATTAGGGTTGATTTCACATGAGGACTGTCTAAGGAGGGTTTTTTAAGTTTAGGGGTAAACTTACTCGCATAGCGGGTTCTGAAGGTAAGGACCCTGTTGTTCACAGTGGTGTGAACCAAGGAGGTCTTAATTTATGAAGTTCCCAGTGGATTTTTGGTATTAGCCGAGATCGTTCTTGCTGGTGGTTTAGGGGTCAAAGCCCCAAATTGCAATGTTTTGTCCCTGCCGGTAGGATTGAATCAAAGCAAAGACTATCCCTGTCTACACTCTGGTAAGTGGTGGTGTGTCTTGCTTGATACGCCCGTGATCTCGAAGCTTTTAACCCTCAAAGCCCTAAACCCTAAACCCCTAAACCCCTAACCCATAAACCCTGAACCCCTAAACCACTAAACCTTAAACCCCTTAACCCCTAAACCCTAAATCCTAAACGAAGAGCGGGGCCTAGGACCTCCCTGAAGCCCCGAAGCCTTAGTCTTGCATGCCGACTGTTCCTAGAAGCCGTGTCAAGCAGAGACTGGAACAAAGACCTCCCAAAGGTTTAGGGTTTAGGGGTGTAGGATTGAGGGGTTTAGGGTTTAGGGGTGTAGGATTGAGAGCTTTAGAGTTCAGGGGTTAGGGTTGAGGGGTTTAGGGTTTAGGGTTGAGGGTTTCGTTTTTCGCTAAAACTTGAATCCTAAGCCCTGAGCCATCGAAATCGCCCTCTTTCAGAGAGCAATCTACTTTAGGGGCCTAAATGACTACCTATACTATCTCGGGGCCTGCTTACTGCATTTAATCGTATAACGGGTCGCAAGGCCCTATTCTAATTGTTAAGGCAGCTGTATCAGACAAAAGCATCGAAGGAGCCATCTGAGATTCTCGCGCTGCTGGGTCAAATGGCGCGGCTGAGTCTTGATGGAGGCGACATTGCACTTGGCAGGGCCATAGTTTCCTGCACGCGACTTGGACCTTCACTACCGGCGTCTGAATAATTCGTAGCGTCGTACCTCTCTCCTCAAAGAGCCCCTACACACTTCTAATTGTCATACCCCCATACAGCCCCCGATTATATAATCTTTTAGCATTTATGCCACTTAATGTAGGAACCTGATGAAGAAACCCTGGCCATATAACCTCAAAGTAGTAGGATTCATACAAGGAACCCCTACTTTCCTACATTATGCACGCCCCAACCCTGTTCTACATATTCAGGCTCTGGCTCTGGAGACCGTTTAGGGTTTACATTTTTGTTGTTTTAGGGTTTTTGGGTTTGGGGTTTAGGGACCCAAAGGGTCCTAGGTACTGTTATGGGGGATACTTCCCCAAATCATAATAGTAATTCCTAATATAGGAACCCTACATTCTACCATAAAGGTACTTTGGACCCTTTGGGGGAATATATGGGGTTTAGGGCTTACATGTTGCTGCAACTGTACATGCCGTGTTGAAGGAGAGACTGCATTGCTGCAAATATTGCTGGGGTTTAGGGGTCAGGGTTTCCTACAGGTACTACTACTGTTGATGGACAAATTCCTGCATGACCCAATATAGGGAATATACCATAATTCACATAGTTTAGGGTCCTTAAGGTCATGCAGGACTTTGTCCATCAACAGTATGTTTACTCCGCCGGCTTGTTCTGGCTATGACTGCTGCTGTGGCTATGATTTTTCTGCCAGTACCCCAATCCAGCTTCCGATAGCTTGGGACTGAAGGTTGAAGGTACCAGAGTTTAGGGCTTAGGGCCTTGAGATCCCAATACCCCTTAATTAAGGATTGTACCTTAGGTCGCACTCTTATGTAAGCCCTCTATAGCTTAAGGCATATCCTTGAATTCAGGGGTATTGGGATCTCTGGTCACAGACAGATAGATCCTCGCTAGTGCCCGATATGCACTGGCACATTCCCAAGTTCGCCAAGGACCGCAAAGCGCTGGTCCTGTGCAGTGGAGTTGCTACAGCATGCCCAACAGAGTCGAGCCGCCAGACGCCAACATTTTCGGGTTCAAAGCCTTAGACAGGGTTTTCGTAGAGTCATAGCGGGCAAGGAAGACATGAATTGGTTCCATTGTGCGTCGACGACGTCTATACTCTACGGCTACGACTACGACTGCGACTACTACGACTACTACTACGACCGGTACTACTACTACTACTACTACTACTACTACTACTACTACTACTACTACTACTACTACTACTACTAGTACTACTACTAGTACTACTACTAGTACTAGTACTACTACTACTACTACGACGACGACGACTACTACACTACTGCTACTACTACTACTACTACTACTTCTGCTACTACTATTACTACTCCTACTCCTACTCCTACTCCTACTCCTACTCCTACTCCTACTACTACTACTACTACTACTACTACAACTACTGCTACTACTACTACTACGACTGCTGCTACTACTACTACTATCACTACTACTGCTACGGCCACTGCTTCTGCTGCTGCTACTTCGACTTCTGACAACAACTGCCGCTGATGCAGCAGCAGCAGCAGCAGCATGCAAACCCTAATCAGCATTTATGTTCGGTTTTGTTGTGCCCGCAGGCCCTCAATCAAGAGCCGCTCCGGCTTGCAAAGAGCCACAACCAGAAAGAGCAACATTGCAAGCCAGTTGCGTGCCTAACCCTAAACCCCAAAGTTTGTAAAACCTGCCTAACCCTGAACCCCATAATGTTTGTAAAAAGTGCCTATCCCTAAGCCCTAAAGCTTGTAGAAAATCGAGGTGAGGATCCCCCCTTCACACTTTGACTCTGGCACACTGGTCTGCGAGAAATTGGGGGAGACGAAGCTCATGCTCGAGCTCGTTGCTTCAAGGCACGGTCCCTCTCCAGTCACAAACAGTTTACGGCTGAGAGTTCAAGGTTTTGGGTTTAAGGTTCTGGATTTATTTGATGTTTGGGGTTCAGGGTTTAGGTTTAAAGTAGATTTAGAGTGGTCCGTTCCAGCCATACTTTCCATGCATGGCAGTTATGGTTACCACAAAATGCAAGACATCGCAGTGTAACGGTAATCCGTGAACGATTGGCCTCAGCCGCTAAATCCTAAACATGGCCTTGAAGTCAGGACCCGTAAAGTCCACACAAGACGATACTAGAATATAGCGCCAAACACTCATATTCTAACATATTCTAATCATAGAGGTATTTTCTTCAACATGAAGGAATGAGATAGCACAGAGGAATGTCGCAACCGTGGTATCACGGAGGTTACGTACTTGGAAGCAGAGAACATAGCTCCTGCTTCTTGTAGACCCCTGATTCATGGCACCTCCACCCTCAAAGTGATGAAATCAGGGGTTCTAACCTTCAGACCCGTAAAGAAAGGCGCTTTACTAGCGCCTGGGGTGTGCGGTGGTTCTGTTTAAGTGGTAGAGACGTACAAGTGCGGCTATATATATATATATATACAGATAGATAGATAGATAGATAGATGCAAGTATAAGTAACCAAGTTTGCCTTTGTTTTTGGTTCATTCATTTACTGATTTGTTCCGTCATTCGTTCATGTACTGCTTAGACAGACAGACAGCCAGGCAGACAGACAGACACAATACATACATACCTACTTACTTACCTACATTACGTTACGTTACATAACATAACACAACCCTCATACATCTTTACGTGCCTAAATTACATTACGCTACATAACACATATACATACATGCATGCAGGCAGGCATTCATGCATGCATGCACGCATGCATACATGCATACGTGCACACATGCGCATACATAAGGACATGCATGCATACATACATACATACCGTTACAGTACATTACATGACATTATGTTACATTACATTACATACATGCTTACATAGACACATACACACATACACGCATACACACATACATACATACATACATACGTACCTACTTACTTACTGACTTACTCACATACCGTATGTATGTAAGTATGTAAGTGTGAGTAAGTGAGCAAAAAAGGTAATTATAAGTAAGTATGAATGTATGTACGCAGGTATGAATACACAGACATCTTGTGTATATATATATATAGATATGTAGAGTTCTAGGGTTCCCTTTAGCCGCTGTTCAGACCTGCTCATTCATCAAAGCCATGAAGCCCCCCTTTCAGGCGTTTCACATTTAAAGTCAGAGCCAGACAGTTGGCATGTCCTTATTAAGGTGAAGTAAAGTATACGATATCCGAGCAGTAATCAACCTTCAGCCATGTTCCAACTTTATGGGCTTCAAGGGGCCAAGTACTATGCGGCAGCTTGGAGAGCGTGGATTTATGTCACGGTTTTAGTTTAGGATCAAGGGCTTAGGGTGTGCGGTTTAGGGTTTAGGATACACATATTTCCGGACATTGAAGTGAACAAGGGCCACGTTCGGAACTTCCATGTATGCTGTGAATAGCAGTTCCACTTTCTGTCAGGCAAGATAAGACGAACAATATGAAATCCTCACAAGGTGCTCCAAAACTAATGGAAGACCCTCACCCACCTAGCCTCAGAAACCCTGGACGTCATTCACCCTCCATCCTCCACGGGCCCATGTACCCAATCAGTATCTACTCTGGCCTTAAAGTCGTCTCTATATAGGTACTTTGGGGCCTAAGTGTATACTATTTGGGCACATGGACCCTTAGGGATCCATGCGCATGTACATGCCTTCAACCCCCTAGTCTTAGATAGAACCCAAAGCCTCGATGCACAGACCCCCGCAAGGATCTAGAAAGTAGATCCCCTAATTTGGGGCCCATACTGCTGAGGGTACTTTATAGGAACCCCGATTAAGGGATCTACTTTTTGGATCCTTGCGGGGGTCTGGGTATGCAAAGACCGCCTGAACCCGCCATCCTCCACCTAAAGCCTCCACCCTTGCCCTGAACCCTCACTCCTCCGTCCTTACACTTTAAGCCCCCCCTCCTCAAACTTGTGAAACTTAAAAATGACCCATAGGAGGCCAAAAGGGGTTTTAGCCTATGGGAGTTTAGTAGGGATTAGGGTTCCCATAATAGGGTTCATATTAAGGAATCCCTACCCCAAGAATCTTAAACCCCCCGTATGGCCTCCCATCAATGACGCCCTTAAACCCTACAGTAGAAGCCAGAAAGTTGGAACATCATTATCCTCATGTCGCAGGATTCGTGATGGAGGGCCTTTGCGTGACGAGACTGCTTTTCGTGCCTGGCATGCTGCCATCGACCTTTCGGCGGAACTGGTGCATGCCCAATTGTGATGATCTAAACTCTTAACCCTAGATCCCTAAACCCTATTCAATCCCAGTTCCCTCGATCCCGCAACCCTGTTAAACCCTGGTCTTGTTTACCCATAGGCCCCATCGTAGGTCTATGGGTACACTTTGTTTTTGGTTTATGTACTTCAGATCTACAGCCTGGAACCTACAGCCAGTTCGGACCTACGATTCTTTAGCTACGTTTCCCTAGGTGCAGGCTGCGTGTCAGCCGGATGATGTCGAGTTCGGGAAGGTGGCAAAACTTGTCAGCCCGTCGGCAGCAGAAATCGTTGCTGCAGTCGGCCTGGAGGCGGGTATAGGATTTAAGCTGACAGTCGCGGTTTACGGTTTAGGGCTAGATAGGCTTTAGGTTAGGGTTTAATGACGGAGTTTAGGGTTTAGGGCAGTTTAAGGTTCACCTTTCGGGGCAGGGTTGAACGCTCATAGAATCCTGGAGGGTTTCCACTTGGACTTGTCCAAGACCGAAACTGATGCCGCGGAAGCGAAGCGGATCATCAAGAGGACTGGGCTTTGGAGCACCATACTTTAATACTTTTTTCTTAAAGGAACCTTTATGAAATAAAAGTTTATACTTTTTTCTCCCTGGTTACTTAACAGCTCAGAGGATGAAGTCGATAAAACTACCGCCAAACGCTCTTTCGTATCAAAGAGCCCTCGATGCTTGTGCCCGGAGGACAGCGGGTTTCGAAACCCAAAGGGTCCAAAGTACCTACATGGTAGAATGTAGGGTTTCTATATTAGGCATTATATACTGTTATGACTTGGGAAAGTATAGCCCATAACAAAAGGGAAATAGTATAGATGCTGCTGACTTCGTAGAATTTCGTTTTCGGTAGTTTCACGTGGCGGAATTGCCTGCAATAACATCAGGGACGAATGGTCGGCGGGCGGCGATTTCCTGACTGGCATGCATGCCAAACAGATTTCTTTGCCGGCGAGCTACTGGCAGAATCGGCAACACATGTCCTGTCAAATTTTGGAGAAGAAGTGCAGCTTGGTCTCGGATGTACTGCCTGTTTTCATTCAATTGCAAGCCTGCGGTGTCAGTCTGACTTCGTACCACTACATCGTGGGTCTCCGCCATGTTTCCGACGACGTCATAAAAACGCGAGCCTTTCTGAAGCAGATGAGCGACATGGCAGTGAATCCCAACCCGTACACTCTCTTCCAGGTTGCTGGGCTTAGGGTTCAGGGGTTTAGGGTTTCGGGGTTTCGCGATCAGGGTTTAGGGGTTTAGGGTTTAGGATGGTTGGACAATGAGTCCCCAGTAGAGTAAGTGGGCAGCGTAGCTCCTATAGGTAGCGATGAGCTTCAGCTTTTAGTATGTGACAAAGTTAAGGTTCCCGTGCATATGACCGCCCATGAGGCTTCTAGTAGCCTTTTTGGTTTAGGGTTCTGTTTTTCTTCTTTCTGAATACATTCATCCCTCGGCTCCCGTCCAGGACCACCCTTGAACACCCTGAACCCTAAATCCCCAAACCCTGAACCCTAAATCCCCAACCCTGAACCCTAAATCCCCAAACCCTAAGTCCCGAATGCAGGGCTTTTCTGCATGCAGTACTGCTGGATCCTGGGACGCGGCTTGTGACTTTCTTCGAGCAATGGTCGACAGAGGCTTGCTGCTTCGCAAGCACAGAAGCTTCAGGAGGTGTGTCGGGCTTTATGGTTTTGGGTTTTGGCTTAAGGGTTTACAGTAGGGGTTTACTGTTTCGGGTTTAGGGTTGTAGGGTTTTGAGCTGGGTTTGGGGTCGAAAGACCTACCCATTAAGGAGCAGCACAACAAAAAAAGGGAATCCTTAGCAAGGTCTTTCTGGGTCTAGGCACACGGTTTTGGTGTTTTCGGGTTTAGAGTTTGAGGCTTAGGGTTTAACGGTTCGGGGTTCAGGGTGCAGGGTTTAGGATTTATCCTTGCATTTATAATAGGGGGTTCCGAGTATCGAAACCTTCAACCCTAACCGCTAAATCCAGTTTCAGCGAGATACCGGCGCTTGCTTAGGCTTCGGACCGACGAAGTGGACTACGATGGGGAAAACCTGGCTCCTTGAATGAAAGGTACAAAACAGATTATATATGGGTGGTTGTCAAAATTAGGGTCCCCTGGTACCCAAATAGTAGGTGCCTTATTATTTTAAGGACCCAAAAAGGGACCCTGATTTTGACAACCACCCATATATGGCTTCCATATGGTTGTAAACAGTTTAGGGTTTAGTTTAATACAATGGATATGGCTTTGCTTGTTTATGGTTGCGCTTTATGTGTTAGTAGCTGCCCCCACCCTGTAATAGTGGTATAATAGGAATATAATAGGGCCCTAATACAATCCCATATAATCCTTATGGTCACTATTACAGGGTGGGGGCCCCTTCTAATTTATGTGGTTCTTGCTTTCCTACAGCATGCCAAGGTTCCACTGGTTCCGAGCTCCAGAAGGGATCGTCTAGAGCTGCTTTCCGACATGTTTTCCAAGGCTGGCATGTGGGACCACCCTTTAGCATCCTGAACCCTAAACCCCCAACCCTGAACCCAAAATCCCTAAACCCTAAGTCCCCAATGCAGGGCTTTCCGATATGTTTTCCAAGGCTGGCATGTGGGAAGAGGCACTGCTTTGGTTTGCAGGCCTTTCACGGGTCGGAGTGCTTCCGAAGCAAGCTGATTTTGTGGACGTCATTACGGCGCTGTCAAGCTCCCGGCAATGGCAGCTAGCATCAACATTACTTCGTGATGTTCCCGACCGGATTTTCACGGAAGGAATGCTTGCAGACCTCGTTGACCGAACAGACGACTGGAGGATCTTGTTAGAGCTGCTGGCTCGGCTGAAACCGACAGGACCTTCGAGCGATGCCTATTACACCGCAACCATAGCAGCCTGCGGCAGGGCTTCGGAGTGGGAGAGAGCAATCAGTCTTTTGGGAGAATCGGCTTCCGAAGCCATCTATGGTGCTGCCATAAATGCCTGTGACAAGGGAGGAGAGCAGCTGCGCGCGATGCAGCTCATGGACGAGATGTGTAGAAGGAAGTTGGCGCCAGGGGAAGTCGCTTTCAGCGGAGTGCTGGCAGCATGTCGTAGAAGTGGGCGATGGGAGTATGGGCTTCAGCTGTTGCAAGCTATGCAAGACAGCCAGATTCCCATGAACTTACACATGTATGGAGCCTGGGCTGTGGAATACCAGGCTCTAATGTTGTGGTTCGGACGTGGTCCTGAACGGAACCACTATGAAATACAAGTTTTTTTTATCATTTGTCCTAAGGGAGCCTGGTTATCCCTAGGGCTCCAGTTCCCTAAATATGTAGTAGGTGACTAGCCATATATCATCTACTGAAGTAACCTACTATTTAGGTAACTGGAGCCCTAGGGCACTTACACTCTTAACCCCCAGCCCCCAAACCCCAAACCCCTAAACCCATAAACCCCTAAACTCCTAAACCCGTAAACCCCTAAACCCTTCAACCCCTAAATCCTAAACCCTCAACCACTAAGCCCTAAACCGCTTAGAAGCCAAGGAGCAGCATTGGGCTCCTGTGCAGCAGGATCGGCCTGGAGAAGGGCTCTTGGCCTTGTGGAGGACACCAGGCTGTTCAGTGGGGTTTAGGGTTTTGGGTTTATAGGGTTTTGGGTTTATAGGGTTTTGGGTTTGGGGTTTAGGCTTTGGGGTTTGGGGTTTAGAGTTTAGGGTTTAGGGTTTAGGGGTTCCTATTATACAATACGAAGCTTAAAACAGTATATTTTTTCCCAGTGGGTTCCTGAACAGCCGAGGACATGTCTGCAAGCGAAGTGCCCCCAAATCAAATCTGCTACTTGCTAGCTGACACAGAAAGCGGTGAAATTTCTGGCATGATCCATTCCGTGCCCTAAACCCTAAACCCCTAAACCCTAAGCCCCTAAACCCCCTAAACCCCTGAACTCTAAACCCTAGACTGCTGAAGCTTAAGGCTATAACCAGCTGCTGGATGCTGTCGTGCGTGAGCCTGTGAGCTTCTCGATCTTCCGGAAGGGTCTGGAAGCGAACGTGTGGCCCGGGATCCTCACAAAAGACGACATCTTAGATGCTGGGCTTTGGAGTACCATACTTTAATACTTTTTTCTTAAAGGAACCCTTATGAAATAAAAGTCCCTAAGCTCCGCTAAACCCCTTAAACCCCTAAACCCTGAACCCTGAACCCTAAACCCTAAACCACTCCTTATGAAATAAAAGTTGTAATCCTTTTTTCTCCCTGGTTACTTAAAAGCCCCAGGATGTGCATTCCTTCTCACCAGGCCGCTGGCTCGGTTCCGCGAAAGACCGATCTTAGGTTTCTGGAACTTTCAGTCTACCTTAACCTACCAAAACCTACTTTTTTGTAGATTCTTAATATAAACCCTAATATGGAATTTATAGGGACCCTACAAAACAGTAGGTTTTGGTAGGTTAAGGTAGATGATTACTCCTTCAGTACGTAGGGTTTAGGGTCTACCCATAGACCCCATAGTAGTTCCTTTTCGGGATTACCTTATAGGATTCTAAATATGAACCCCAGAAAGGAACTACTTTGGGGCCCTAGGGTAGGGTTGAGTCATACGGAGTCTGGCATAAAAGCCGCTGCAACAGGGTTTTCAGAAATCCCACAGGTGCCGCCGCCATCGCAGTGCTTTGGTGGCTGGCCGAGGTGGTGCCCTCTTTCACCCACGGATCGAGCGGCCGTTTAAAAATCATTACCGGCTATGGCAAGTCTCGCAAGGCTCCTGGGCTCTTGTTGACATTATAGGTTTGGGTTTAGGATTTAGGGTTTGGGTTTAGGCGTTTAAGGTTTAGGGGTTTAGGGGTTTAGGGTTTAGGGCTTATCCGTTTTCTTGCAACTTGGTATGAATCTCCTTAATGTAGCGTAGTATACCCCTCAACGAACACTTTGGAAACCAAATATGCTGGAAGATTCTTAGCCCCTAAACCCTGATCCCGAACCGCAAACCGCATGCCAGGATTGGAGTTTCTCGAACTCGAAGGAGCAGGGTGTTCAGGATCGTGCGACATGGCTTCGATTTAATATCGGGGCCACAATACTTACAGATACTATTTTGGGGGTCCTTTTTGGATTATAGTAGCATATACCCCAAAACCCTATTCTAATTAGTTGTTAACACCCCTCTATTACAGCCCCCAGCCGTAGCCCTTCACGCTTCGGGAGTCAGAGACGGGGTACAAGGCTCAGGGTGTGGGGCAAGCTCCAGACTGGGCCTATAATCCTTGACCCTAAACATTGCGGCGGGCCCAGACAGCAGAGGGGAGCATTAGCCGAATATGGATGAATGTTATCCAGACGTTGGCATAAGTCTTGAACCCTGGAGGTCCAAGTACTTAGTTATCACATGCTCTCCAAACAGTAGCCTGCATAGCTACCATCCTAAGCCAAAGTACCTACTTGTTGGATCCTTGGACTCTGAGAACCCTAGAGGAAAGCCCTAAACCCTAAAGCCCAAACCCTAAAAACGTGTTGTAATTCCTGAACAACTCCCGGGCCAAAGACTCAGCACCTGCAAACCTTATCAGCTCTACGAGACGGGTCGAAGAATCACTCACACCGTCCCCTTGTAGCCACTACGAAGAGTACCGCATAAAGTACTCCAAAACCCTATCCGAATGATGAAGAGTCGCATATTGCAGAACTCTTAAGGAATCCTTATGGAAACCCCTTGCGGGAACCTTTACCGAACCCCTTAAGGTAACCTTATAGAAACCCTTTTTCGAACCTTTACCGAAACCCTGATTGCACCTCAGGTGTTGCAGGTCCTCCAACATGCCGGAATTCCGTGCCAAGTGAACTCGCGAAATCGCGGCGTCGTCAACCTCGATCTGATTCTCAGCTGATCTGGTGACGGAATTTTGGTTTGTCCAGGGTTTAAGGTAGAAATTTAATGGTTCAGGCTTCAAGGTTTAGGGTATCAGCGTTAAGCTCAGGGCTGTAGGGTTTTGCGTGCCTGAGATTATCATGCCCTTATACCGCGAACCTAAACTCCTCGTCGCAAATATCCACGGCGACAGCAATTATTATGTCCATTGGCCTAAGCCCTAAACTTAAGCATAGCTCTAAATCACTACCACTGGACACTAGACGTAGGAAGCAGAGGGTGGTTGGCAAAAAGTCCTGGATCTCGCCACTTCGCTGGCTACCCTAGAAGTTGAAACCCTGCCAGGACACCCCAAGTGCCCTTGCATGAAACCCTGATGGATCGTAACTGTGGATATTCAGGGTGTACGTGAGGGTAGTTGGGGGTTTAGGTAAAACCGCTAATCCCGAAAGCTTCAGGCTCAAGGCCTTATGTATGTGTTCAGGACGCTACACCATACCTTGAGCTGCCAAACCCTACTCGTTTATATATGTATATTTATACGTATATCTTCATGTACTTGTACATTAATGTGTGTGTGTGTGTATGTGTATGTGTATATGTATATGTATATGTATCTCTGTATGCGTATGTGTATATGTATGTATATGTATCATATTATATGTATTTACACATGTATACACATGTCGGTTTATATTAAGTAAGGACTACAGATAGTAGGTTGGAGCATTTTAACCCCTGAGCCCTGGCAAGAAGATCCAGGACCGGCATCCCGGTTGAATCTCTGCAGCGGCTCTTTCCGAAGCAGAGCTCCGCAGAAAGGAGTGCCATACAGTATACCAGGGTTCCTGTAGGGGTTCTAAAATAGCAGTCTCAAATAGGGAAATCGTGTTCTGTAGTAAAGTTCCTTCGACGGTCTTGTATTTGGGTTCCTTGGGGTTTGAAGTTGTTGAGCAGTTCTATCGGGTCTTGCAGGGCGTTTTGAGGCTTTGATGATGAGCTTATAATCTGGTTCTACGACATGGTGTAAGCTCCAGGGATTATGTCTAGCGGTTGAGGAGTTTGGGGTTAAGGGAACAGCCCTGGAAGCAGCCCTTAAGGGAGTCCCTGGCCTATAAAGCCTTAAAGGAACCCTTTAAGGGTTTCGGGCTGAGGCTTGTGAGAGGTTGAAGGATGATGGGCTGACCGGGAGGGCTATACTCTCGAGATGACATGCGGTGCCGTAAACCTCTACGAAGCCTCGCAGCTCGCGGCAGTTTAGGGTTTAGGGCAAGCCGCAAACCCCAGCACATCTTATAGCTGTATAGACGAACGGGTGCAGGAAGATCTTTCGCGTGTAATTAGGATTGCATGGTGCAGCAAGCCTGAACGAGTCGATGCACATCATAGGATCCTGAGATGACATCAACGGCAGCTGTCGCCGCGATCTACCGCAGCAACATGCTTTCTATTGCTATCTCGATCCGTTTACACAGTAAAGCCTTACCCAGGTTGCCAAGAGCTTGCCTCAGCCACACCCTGGGGCCAACACCGTGATTAAACAGTCGTACACACGACAGTCCAAAATCCGACGACCTGTGCCTATAGGTATGGAAACGCTAGACCCTAAATCTTGAATTCCAATCCCTCGAAAGCCCATATTGTTCTCTACATCATAAGCGTCATAACACCTTGAGGCTTCCGACCCTACCCCAAACCCTAAAACCCTTCCAGAGCCTTATGGTAGTCTTATCAACCCCGAGTGCCACTACTGCCATTGTGGACTTGGGTCCCAAAAGGCCATACCGATTATGGCTTTGGGGACTTACTTCCATAATGGTAGTATATGGTAGTATATGAATGAACCCTCAATGGAGTATATATGCCCATGATGGTTTTGGGGACTTACTTCCATAATGGTCGTATATTAACGGACCCTCTGGGACATGGAGTTGTCTCCCAGGCCGGGAACTTATCCACCAAAGGACGAAGCGTCTGGACCCCAACTGCCCGAGCGGTAGCTTGATGTACTTACTGCTTTTACTGGGGAAGGCGTAGGGTTTAGGGGTTATATAGGGTTTAGGGTTTGGGTTTATGGAATGCATCGCTTAAATTATGCGGCCAAGAAGTTTGGAGTTACCAGAAGGGGTTTTGATTAATCGCGCCTATACAGAAATCCGGGATTGCCCGAAATAGGGGCGTGGGCTTAAGCGGACATTGTGGCTCACATGCACGAAAGTACATGGAAAGCTGCATCTATTCATGGCGCATACTTAGCTTGAGCATGTTCCAAGCCGATCCCCATACTGTGCAGATGTGCATAGTCTCCGTGTTGGAGTGTTCGTTTGCCGGTTTCGTTTCGGAACCCATTCAATTCCGCGCGTCCTCCCATCTTTCGCGAGTCCTTCTTAGAGGTTTTGCGTAGAGACCCCCTTATCACGAAGTAGTACAATTATGTCCTTATAAACCCGCTATAAAACATCGACGAAAGGAGGCCTTCCTTTTATTATGGTCCGGTCCGGTCGGATTTCGGGTGCCCTCGCTGCTTCGGGGCCTTTGTTAGGGATACCTCAGCACTCCGAATCCCGAAAGCCTGAAATGAAGTAGGTTTTAGGGTATAGGGTTTCGGGGTTTGGGGTTGCAGGCATTGGGGTTTACCCTGTCTAAAACCTGCAGTTAAGGGCTTCCAGAACGACATACACTAAACCCTGAAAAGCCACAGCATCTGGGGTTTTAGACCCTGTTGTTATACTCAGACTGATGACTTCCATCCATATAGGACGCCCTTAAAGGAACCCCTTAACAAAACCCTTCAAGGAAACCTGTAAAAAACAAGGAACCCACATAGGAACCCTTGAAGGAGCTTAAGTTGACACCAGCGGCATGGGAAACTTCTGCTCAGTTCGGTCGCAGGCTCTAGGCCATCAGGCAAATAGGTGTCATGGGTCTGGGGGGCATCTTGTCCTACCTGCATGATATGCTGACGACGATGATGCTGGCGAGTGGGATGAACATGCTCACGCTTTTCATGATGTTGGTGGTGATGCTGAGATTGATGCTGGTGTTGCTGGGCTCTGCCACGACTATGAACTACAAGAAGATCCTGCTCATTATTCGTTGCTGAGGCGCACCAGCAAGTACCAGGAGCCAGCCTCAGTGTCTGTCGTGCTTGTGCAGACTTGTTGTATGCCTGTCAGCATGTACATATCTATATATATATATGTATATATATATATATAGATAGACGAATGGAAAGACAAATAGATAGAGAGCGAGAGAGAGAATATTATTGTATATATGTATGTATGTCTGCATGCACATGCATGCATGTATGTTTGTGTCACAGGCCGTACGCGCTACTGTGCGATGCTTGAACCTCACGGTTGCTTTCGTTCTAATTCTGCTCATTCCTGGAGGATATAATGTAGACCTTTGATAACAGAGAGCTGGGATCCGGATAGTCGGGCCCTGGTAAGGAACTCACTAGGGCTTGGGTGTTCTTTGCAGGGCGTCCTTCCTACGATGTATATGTTAGGACCTGAAGTCCACCCCTTCAAACACAAATACACACAGAGACATCCTAACCCCAAGGGTCCAAAGGACCCAATAATCAGGTAGTCGGTTTTGGGATAGTAGTTATGTAGGTTAGGATTTTGGGGAGTATGTGATTATTGGGAAGTTGGACCCTTAGGGGCAGGCTTCAAGGAGGGCTCTACCGTAGGGGCCTTAATAATTGAAATCGGGTCCTGGGGCCCATAATACTATAACTATAAATCACAAGCCGCTGTCTCATGTCTGAGGCCCCTCGGCAAGTGTCCTTTGGCTTTAGCCGGCGCTTTAGCCGATGGCCGCAGAACGCGGACAAGAAGCCGGGGCCAGGCTAGGCGACGTTTTGGGGTTGTTTCGTGTTGCACTTGCCATTGTTTCTTGTTCTTGTTCAGGGGTTAGGGTTTGGGGTTCTCGGGTTTTGCGGTTTAGGGTTCTGGGTTGTTGTTCACAGATTACATGGCATTCGTGCTTTACTATGGTTTATGTGTATCGCGGCCTCGACGGGACATGAGCTTAAGGCAAGGTTTTCTGCGCATTCTTAGGCAAACATGCTCCCAAAGGGTCCTAGGTACTGTTATGGGGGATACTTCCCCAAATCATAATAGTAATTCCTAATATAGGAACCCTACATTCTACCATAAAGGTACTTTGGACCCTTTGGGGCTTCAAGCTTCGGATTCAGGGCCGGGTTAGCGCCTGAGGTTTCAAGCCAGGTTAAGCCGAACATGGTTTCCCAAGTTTTCAATAGCACCCCCTCACCCAATCTAGCGCTGAAGATCAAAACACAAGAGAAACGACGGACGCCCCAAGCCCTAAACCGCCGCATCTTCCTCAAGCTTCTACACCGATGATCCTGAATCCCTTCTGCAAGACTCACAGCAACTGTCGCAGGCGCACATTCTGTGGCGAACTTCGAAAGGCTTGCAGCTAAACAGACTTCTGGGGTGAAAGGGGGTTCAGGTGGCAGTTCCGTTTTAGGGAATGCAGTTCAGGTCCTCATCACATGATGTGAGCTGAAGTTTCATGTTTCTCGAATCATTTACGGTATCTTGAACTAGGGCCCCTAGCAAGAACCCACAAGAAGGGTGCAGGTTCTTCAGACTTGCTTGCTGCATGTACTCTAGTCATTTTAGGGTTGAGTCGGGCTTGGCAGCATCAAGGGGTCTGAGGGGTAAGGGTTCAATGCTCATGGCTGCTTGGCTGCATTCTGGTTTCAGACCCTGTCTATGGCCGAGGCAACGATGTGCAGATTCCCCCCCCATGCCGAAGCTGTCACCACCTAGACTTTGGTGTATTTGTCTCTATATTTGTATATCGAGAAACCTCGAGCCTTGAACCCTTAAAACTGAAACATCTGAAGCCCAAATCTCAACCCTCAACACCTGGTTAAACCAAATTTGGTCACTGGAACCTGAACCCCAATTGCAGCATAACCCTGAGGGTCCAAGGGACCCAGTAATCAGGTACTTAGGTTTAGGATAGTAGTTATGTAGGTTAGGATTTTGGAGAGTATATGACAATAAGGTACTTAGACCCTTAGGGAAAGGTCTTGCCATGGGGTTTTGGGTTTAAGCTCGTGTGGACGCAAGGTCCAGAGCTCACCATATGGGAGCTTCCGAAAATTAGGGGGTACCTTACTCGGGCTCCTTATAATAAGGATCCTACTATTTAGGGTACTATATTATAGGGTTCCCCATATTCGGAAAATACAAGTACTATGCGGTCGGCAGGTTCAAGTATGCAGAGCCCACCGGGATTCCCGGCTGCAGTTGTGAGGAGAGCTCCCACACTTCTCTGGACCTTACACTCTCGTCCCCCCTGAACCCCTGAACCCCCAGGGAACCCTTATAGAGACCTTATAGGACCCTCAAGACGAGTCGTTAAAAGGAACTTTCAAATAAACCTATAGGGCCCTTAGCAGGAACCCCCAACTCGCGTCGTGAACCCTAAACCCCAGAACCCAGAATCCTGGTCCCCAAGCCTAGCAATGCATGGCCCGAAGCAGCGTTGAAACAGGGTGCCCCTCCAGGTTTGCAGGGGTTAAACACGCTTAAAATCCAAAACCTCAAACCCTTTCAGCTTCAAGGTTAGAACTTGCCGTTCAGGATTTTTTTGTTGGGCGTTGGAACCCTAAGCCCTAATGCACCTAAACCCTAAACTGGGGTTTCGGGTTCTCCCCTGTCTGTTTGGCATTTGGAGCTCCGGCGTTTCGAGGTGGAGGGTGAGCGGGGGAACAGGGCATGTTGAGGCCTGCAAGTACTGGCGATCTATGGAGAGATCGAAGTTCGAACCCTGGGCCTAGGTGGAGTCTAGGAGGAGCTCTGACCTCGCAGCTTTCAACTACAAGCTTCCGATTTGGTACAGGAATACGGCTGATGATCTAAATGCCTTACAGTATTACCCATAATAAAGAACCTGCCATAACTCCCATAGTCTAGGGTCATCAGGGTAATGCAGGGTTTATATCATCAACCGTATGACATGGTTCTTTCCAAGCATGAGAGGAGAGACACTAGTCAGGGTTTATGGGGCACTATAGGTCCACGAAGGATCTTGAAACCGTTAGAAACCCTCATCCGTACGAGCCCCAGCTTCAGCAGCATTCCAAGTCCTGCGCCAAGCGATTTCGAGTCGACAGTGCTCTGCTTTCGCCAAAACTCAATCCAAGATTCAGAAATCCCAATTCAAGTCTCAAGCCCTAGATGAATGAGAATTTCTTGTTGCAGCAACTGATCCGCCCCGTACCGAAACCTGGATACCCTAAATCCCAAACCATGAACACCTAAGCCGTCCAGACCGCGTGTCAGTCACGCTTGAGGCGCAGTTTTAGCCGCGCCCCACGCGGACGGCCGAATCCGGTCAGGTCCGACAACCTGATTTCGGAGTTGTGTCAACTTGCATTTGTTTGTGGTTTTCGCTGCTTTGTATCCATTTCTGTGTGCATTTAATTGTTAAAAGGACTTATAATGTATATGCGGTCTAGTTAATGATTTGAAGATTGCGAGATTTTATGGGTGTATCTTTAAACACCTGCACAGGAGTAACGATGAGTGTGTGCGGTTGGCCTTCCGTTTGGGATACTAGGAGAAGCCGAGATCTGATTTCATAGGCTCTCACGTACCTTCAAAGTCTCCTTTCAAGTTCATGTCGCGGTGTGTGTGTGTGTGTGTGTGTGTGTATGTACCCAGACACTCCAATATCCCTTAATTGAGGAATAGACCTTAAATTATAGTAGGATCCCTTATATGATATGATTTAAGGTATATTCCTTAATTAAGGGATATCGGAGTCTCTGGGTATGTATGTATGTATGTATACATATTCTAAAGTGTGGCCTTAAAGTCTTCCTTATATTAGTAAATCAGGGGCCTAAGCATAGTCTAGACATGAGTACATGGGCTTCTAGGCGGTTGCCTACCTAGGAGATTCCTTTCCTGCTGGAAAACACTCTAAGGCTCCATGTACCTCTATAGCATATGCATAGGCCTTAAAGTACTTATATAAGAACCCGTTTCAGGCCTGAGTATGTACTATATCGGCACATGGAACCTTAGGGATATGAGGGTTTAGGGCCATAGGCTTACAGGTTAGGGTTTCGGGCATAGGGGTCGGAACAAGCAATCAAGAAATCTCTGCGAAGCTATAGCTCAACATCGCCGAAAAAAGGAGTCGTAGCTAATATAGCTCTTACATTTCCGCAGTTCTTCTTGGAGCTTTATGAAATTTGCGAATCGAATGGATGTACAGTTCAAGGTTCAGGGTGTTGGGCCGCAGTTCTTCTTGGAGCTTTATGAAATTTGCGACCTAAACCCTAAACCCTAAACCTAAGCCTTAAACCCGAAACCCTGAACCCTAAACCCCATATGATAGTGGTAAGAATAATAATATTAATAGCAATAATAACACTAGTAATAACAATAAAAATACAAAGACAATAATAATCGTAGTAATAATAATGATCATATAAGTACCTAGTTATCGGACCCTTTGGCTTCCAGGCAGACCGGACCAGGGCCAGGCGCTTACGGCACGAAGTTCGGCAGCGCCGAGGCGGACGGGGGCAGAGGTTTCAAAATCCTTCAATTAAGGAATAGACCTTATAAAGCATACTAAGATCCCTTAATTAGGGAATAGACCTTATAAATCATACTGAGGAATAGACCTTAAGTCATAGTAGGATCCTTATAGTATGACTTAAGCTCTATTCCTTAATTAAGGGATTTTGGAAGGTCTGGGAGGTTTCTTCTAAGTGAGGGTTTAGGGCCTTGGGGTTTTAGGGCTTTGCGGGTTTTGGGGCTTAGGGTTTAGGGTTTGGGATTTTAGGGTTTGGGGGTTTAGGGGTTTAGGGTTTGGGGGTTTATTGCTCTAGGGTTTTAGGGTTTTACGGGTTTTAGGGCTAAGAGTTTAGGGTTTTAGGGCTTTAGGGCTTTGGGGTTTTAGGGTTTTAAGACTTCAGGGTTTGCGAGCCTAGGAGTCGCTGTTGTGTGCGTGTTTGGGGGGGGGGGCGGATGGTAGGTGTCCTAGGGTCCTAGAGCCTTGAGGGTTCTAGCCGATTCTAGCAGGGAGTACTGGGTCCAGGATAAAGCCTTCCCCAACTGGTTCACAAACCAGCACACCCCAGACCCAAAAGAAACCCTACCTGGGCATCCAAAACCCTACTCTGTAAGGGATATATGCCCTCTAACTCAGGGGTCATATAACCCACTAGTTGGTAGGGTTTGGGGATACAGGTACACCGCGTTAAACCCCGAACAACCCCTGCAGCCCCTACACCCAGCCGGCTTGCAGCACTGGCAGGAAGGCCCCTCCGTGACCATGGTCGGAAAGTTCCGAAAGCCAGTCGCCCAGGAAGGAAGACGGCCTAATGTATAGTAACTAGTACATGGCATAAAATATATCGTATGCAGCATATGACACCTAACATATACTCTCGGAACACGAAGTTGAATCTGCCTTGCGGCGGTTTCAGTGCAACTGTATATATACATATGTATTTATTTATACATATATATATATATATGTTTATTTGTTTTTGTTTTTTTGGTTTTGGGTGTCAGAGTGCTGGACCACAATGCAAGGTCTGGACGGGAGTAGTAGCAGTGGTTGTGTGAAAACTGTCTTGCGCGGAGTGGAGTGTTTAGGCTCAGAGCTTTGCTTGGCAGTGGCCTGGAGGTTGGGAATATAGCCACATTACATGACCCCTCAGAAGCAGCAGCTTATATTGCCTTAACTGCAGACATTCATCTAAAACCAGATGCAAACTCAGACGTTCCCTTACCACAGCGTGGTCTTCTCGGTAATGGCTGGTGTTGTGCTAGGCTTCGAGGCCCCAAGCAACTACAGCTCTTACGAAGTCTTTGGAGCACTCCGAGTCATTCTGGATCGGCCTAATATTTCATTCTCTGGACTCGTTTCTCTTTGCCAATGCGATCCCTGACCAACCAAATCACGTTTGGGACGCTCTGCGCTTGGTCGGAGTATAACTCGGAGGCCTCAAAAGGTGGGATGAAGGTAGGTGGGATATTCCCAAATAAGAGTCCGTATATAAGGGATCCTTAATCCTACCTACCTTCATCCCACCTTTTGAGGCCTCCGATATAACCTGGAGCGTTGTCCCCCTTTCTCGCGGTCTTAGTGCTTCGCGACTGACAGGCCATTGCACTTACCACTATGTGTGGGGGGTCCATGTACCCGAATAATCCATTATACTTTATCTCCCAAAGTACCTTAATGGAAACTACTTTAAGCCGTTGAACCCGTAATCTATAATGCTATTTTGGTACATGGACCTACAAACCCTTCCTGAAGCCCTAATTAAGAACCCTTGTAGTAACCCTTAATTGAGCCCTCGAAGGATCCCTGTTTGGGTGGTTATCAAGATTAGGGTCCCTTTGAGGGTCCCTATTACAATCAGGCACCTAATATTTAAGGCACCCAAAAAGGGGCCCTAATTTTGACACCCATATGGGTCATTGAACCCTAGGGCATCGAGGCTTTGCTTGGGAAATGCTGTACCTTCTCAATTCTCGGCTTCAAAGTTTAGGATTTAGGGTTTTTGGGTTTTAGTGTTCAGCGTTTAGCATCTAGGAATCTCGGGTTGGTTTAGGGCTTAGCATTCAGGACATAGGGTTTAGGGCTCAGCATGTAGGATTTAGGGTTTAGGGTACCGCAAGCTACCAAAACCGACGCTTCGTGTAGGTTCTTGTGATAAAAGTAGCAGTAATACGGGGTTTGTAGGACCTCTACGAACAAAAACAGGTTTTGGAAGTGCCTGGACCCTAAGAAACCTAGCGTTTTAGGGTTCCTCAACATGATTTCCTTGCATAGGAGCCCTTCAGAAGGTAGATTATCTGGGCTTAAGGTAGGTTTTCGGATATTTGGGGCGGAACACCCACTCCTGATCCCAGGCGCGGCGTGCTGAACTATGACGAACCAGGCACGACAATCGATTTCAGCCCAACGCTCGACACGCAAGAAAATTGGAATAGCCAAGAATAGTGCTCGTCAGTATTTTTTAATTTTGCATTGGAAAGAGGGGAAGACTTTGCCGAAAGCATGATTTGAAACTAACGAATTCTTCACCAGGACGCAAGCCAGAGACTCGCTACTCCCAACACCCGGGTCAATTGAGGGGCCCCAGACTCAACTCCCCAACTTTGCTGTTACAGGTCTGACATTCCGACTGGACGTGTTAGGCCTAGACTCTGCTGGACGACACTGTGTAGGTAAGGCTCCACTACATTCACTAAACCCCCTTCTTCCTTACTCCTCCACCTACCTTCCCAAACCCTGAGCCTTAATTAACCCTAAGCCCTAAAACAAGCCCTGGACTAATTGAAGGACTCGAATGAAGCTGCGGAGTCGGAATGGGTTAACCCAGAGACTCACTGGAAACCCTGCAGCTTGACAACCCTCAACCCCTGAATCTTGAACTGTGAATTCGCAGAAGCCCTAGATTCTCAAATCCTTTGAAGCCCAAACCCCAAGCCGCCTAAACTCTTGAAGCCCAAACACGAAGGCCCAAGCCCTGAACTCGGCTTCTGTACCTCCCACGACGTTCGTCGTGGATCAGGGCCGGGAGCATATGATCCATCCACAGTGCGGGCCCAAAGTTTCAGGTTCCCAGAGGGTCCAAGTAATGGTCCTGGTAGTAGAGTAGACGATAACCTTTAACCTTTTTTTGGGTCGTATAGCCCCTATATAATCCCTATATACCCCAAAAAGTTAACCTTTAGTTTCCCATGATACCCGACAAGTAGGTGGTATAGTCAGTTTATTATACTTTTGTGGCCCAAATACCTACTAAGTACCTACTGTATGGTACTTGGACCCTTTGGAGTTTGGTTGAAAGTTTAGGGTTGAGGGTGCAGGACTCAGATTTACCTAGAGGCTTGTACCCTACACCTTTTTGAGGCTGCCTAGTTTTATGCTTAGGATCTGATATATACAAAAGTACCCTTAGGCCGCTTAGTAGTTCCTTTTTGGCGGCTCATATATAGAATCCTATAAGGTAATCCCGAAAAGGAACTACGCACTCGGTAGGTACCCTAAAACTTAAAACAGAAGCCACCCTGTGCCTGCACTGCTTTAGCGACCTTTAAAGTAAAAGCCTGAATGATTGCAAACGAAGAAGTTCCCTAGATGCGCAAGCTCGCGGTCATGATCACGCAGCCATGGAAAGCCTTTGGGAAAATAGGGGTCGGGTATGAGCCTACAGGTAGGGCGCAGGGCGCAGGGTTTAGGGTCCAGCTCGAAGCTCCGGATTATGGGGTTTAGGGGTTACGGGGGTTTAGGGGTTTAGGAGTTTAGGGTTTTAGGGTTTTAGGGGTTTAGGGTTTAGGGGTTTAGGGTGTAGGGGTTTAGGGTGTAGGGGCTAGGGGTTTAGGGCTTAGGGTGCGGGGGTTTAGGGGTTTAGGGTGTAGGGGTTTAGGGTTCAGGGTGTAGGGGTTTAGGGGTTTAGGGTTTTAGGGTTTTAGGAGTTTAGGGTTTAGGGTGTAGGGGTTTAGGGTGTAGGGGTTAGGGGTTTAGGGCTTAGGGTGGGGGGGTTTAGGTGTTTAGGGTGTAGGGGTTTAGGGTTGAGGGTGTAGGGGTTAGGGGTTTAGGGCTTAGGGTGGGGGGGTTTAGGGGTTTAGGGTGTAGGGGTTTAGGGTGTAGGGGTTAGGGGTTTAGGGCTTAGGGTGGGGGGGTTTAGGGGTTTAGGGTGTAGGGGTTTAGGGTTCAGGGTGTAGGAGTTTGGGGTTTAGGGCTTAGGGTGGGCGGGTTTAGGGTGTAGGGGTTTAGGGTTTAGGGTTCCGGATTTTGGGGTTGCAGCAACTCTTGATGTGCTTCTGGGAGTGTCGTGAATGTTCAGAAGTGCACTTCCTTTTTGTGGTCTCTAGAGCCAGTTATAGTTGATGGAGGTATTTTGAGCCTTGCGAGAAAGCAGGAAGTCTTGTGTTGAAGTGAAGTGTCTTGAAGGAAATTATCTGCATGTCGGCGGGTTATTTTTCTGTTTGCTGTTGACAATCTCGGTTAAGCTAGGTACACCTTTCCGTAACGGACGTGGCCAATACGCCGTGCACTTAAGGTCCAGGGGGGCCAGTATGAGTGAGAATGAGAACAGACGGGTGCATCGCCGCACTCCCTGCGTTGAAGCGGAAATTTGGGGCACAGCCTAGTCAAGGTGGTGGCGACGGAGATCCGCAAAAAGCTGCTTGGCGAGACAATCACCTTCAAGATTGTCAGCGACATCAGCCTCGGCGACAAGATCTAGAGTTGGCGATGCCGCAAGCTGACCCGAGAGCAAAGCCTCACAGCTGAGGCCCCAGAGAATCATGGCAGCCCAGCCCGTCTGCACTCTGGACCTTGCAGTCATCGCTGACGAGTTCCCAGCTCTGGGTGCCACACCTGCACGGCGTGGAACAACCCTGCGGCCATTTGGGTCGGCTGCGGTTAACCTGAGAGGCAAGGTCTGTGCCCTCTGCTACTGCGCCACAGCTGTTGGCCCCTCGGAGCCGCCAAGCAAGGCGCAGAAGGCCGAGTCAGTGGCACCGGCCTCGGCAGCGGCGGATGAAGACATGGAGGTCGAAGTTGGAACACAATGGTTCGGACGATGACGCTGACGATCCGTGAGCGATCCTCGCCCCGCCTTGTCAATACTAGGGTGTATGTTTTAGGGCCGGGCTTCTAATGCGACTCATATCGCCTATACTTTGACGCCAAAGGACCTAAACATGGACTACTTGAAGGTCAAAGCATATACCATGTCAGCAGATGGACCGTTAGGGCTAGTTCTAGGAATGTTATCCTCCCGGCCGCTGCGCCCTTTAGCCTTCCAAGCAACCCTAGAACCCGTATCCCTAAATCCTAAACTCCAGCAATTGGAGACTCCTAGCTGCTTGAAAGGTTCTGGGCATGAGTTACCCAGAGACTCCAATATCCCTTAATTAAGGAATATACCTTAAATCATATAAGGGATCCTACTATAATTTAAGGTTTTTTCCTTAATTAAGGGATATTGGAGTGTCTGGGTACCATAAGTGATGGGAGAAGGCTGCAATAAGAGCTACTTAAGGTTACTGTATGGCTTGCAACCAAGGCAAAGTGAAGACTGCTATAAGGGTTACCCAGTATGTCATTTCAAGACTTCAGGTGCCAGTTTTGATGAGAACCCTGTATTAAGTAGCGCAGCTAAATCGGCCAGAGGTGCTTTGCCAGCCGGCTGCTGCAGCTGTGGGCTTTGCGACGGCTTTGCGCGAGGATACCCTAAACCCGTAACCCTGAACTTTAAACCTAAAAGCAAGAGGCCTTTCTGGAGTCGCAGCTTGGGACTTTGGGAAAAAGGAGCTCAAAGAAACAAAAAAAACTAAACCCTAAACCCGAAGCCCTGGACTTCAAACCTAAGAGCAACAGTCTCAGCTTCAGATTCACTGCTGCAGGCTTCGGTGAGGATCAGCTCAGAAGACGCTTCTGTGCCGGGCATACATACTTACAGAGGTATGTATATGTGTGTATAGGTATGCGCATATGTTACATCAGTATATGTATATATATATATATATGTATTTATGTTTATATGTACAAATGCATGTATGTAGAAATGTATAGATTTGCAATCTGTTGGCCCTTCAAGGTAGGATAGTAGGATCCAATTGTTGACTTGCTTTTGCAAGTTCTTGATGTATGTATAGGCTTTTGAAGGTTTCGGTAATCACTGAACCTAAAAGCCCGAGTCCAAAGACCCAAGCCCCGAGACTTTAGACCTTACACCCTAAACCCCTCAAGCCTAAACTATCCCCCACCCGTACCTTTGTTTGGCATGTTTCAGTCGTTGTGTGACAGTCCAAATTGGAGCTGAAACAAGTCGCTGCAGTTTCGGGTTTAGGAACCAGAAGATCTGTCAGCATGCATAGCTGGGTTGGCATGATCTCCATGGGTGTCAACTTGTATAGTACTGTAAACGCTACTGAGGGGCTGCCGTGTGGCGGCAGCCGCTTAAACTTCGAGCAGTCGCTTCAGGACTTCTATCCCAAGGAGGACAAGCAGAAGCCAGCGCCATTCGCTCAGCACATGTGGAGAATTCGGGCAAACCGTTCAATGGTCAGAGTCCCAAACTTCATACATGGGGGAAGCTTTGGGACTGGTTTCTTGGTTTCTTAACGATCCCTGGCCTTGGCGAGACTGTGATTTCAGAGTGTCGTGTCGGCTGCGCCCAGCAACTCCAGCATATCGGTTGAGAACACAATCACGGACTTCCAATCTTGCCATCGTTGCAGACCAGTAGGGCTAATGCAGAGTTTGGGGTTCATCGTTTTGTTCTGGTTGTGTTGAGCCGCTGCTCACGACTATAGTTGTGGCATCGATGTCCGGCCGGGATGCTTTCCATGCTGGCAAGTGCTTGCAGCTTTAGCAAACAGTTGTGACAGTCATCTGCTTGGAGGGTCGGGGCACGTAGTAAGTAGGTAGTATGTAGACTTATGAGTACCCTAGAAGGGGTCCTAAGTGGGGTTACGATACTTATGAATATTCAATGTTACTACTTACTAAGCCCGCCCCCCCCCCCCCCGGACCCTCCAAGTATGGCTACATGATTTAGCTATGTGATACCTTGTGTCTGCACATGTCCCCTTATCATTCAAGACTGGCTGCTGCCGTCTGTCGAGCTTTCTCTCGCCTCTCTTTCTATCTCTGTCTCTCTCTCTCTCTCTCTCTCGCTCTCTCTCTCTGTCTCTCTGGCTCTCTCTCTCTCTCTCTCTCTCTCTTTCTCTCGTTTCCTTTTCTCTCTCTGGATGTAGGGCATTATAGGATTCAGGGTTCTAAACACTGAACCTGGAGGGCCTCAGGGGTATTGTCACCGTACCCCGAAGCCTAGTGCTACACTCTCAGTTCAATACCCGAATCTCCACCCTAGACCCTACTTGGAGGGTCGGGGGACTTACTAAGTAGTTATTTTGTAGAGTTATAAGTACCATAACCCCCACTAGGATCCCTTTTAGGGTACTTATAAGTCTACTTACTACTAAGTGCCCCGACCCTCCAAGTAAGCCCTAAACCCTAACTCAAAGCCCTCAACCCCAAAGCTTACTGCCAAGTTGTTGGCGTTTCTTGAATCATCCTCCCCCATACCCCCCCTAAAGCTCCCTATGAAATCAGGCCCGGGGCATATCATGATGCCTTCTTGAACAATCCGATCGGCAGCGCACCGGTCTCAGCTGGGAGATACGGTGCCACAGTTTAGTGTTCAGGGTTTTGGCGCCGACTTAGGGTGCAAATCAGCGTAATGTCGGGGCCTTAATAACAAGAATAGGGTTTCGGGGGTTCCTTATTTAGTTATCGTCGAAGATCCCTAAACCTAAACCCTGAACCCTCAACCCTAAACCCCAGACCCCGTCAACCAGAGCGCACAAGGACTGCCTGGCCTTCTCCATCACCGGGAAGCGAAGGATCGTTTTTTCTCTGGGGCGTGCTTAGGGTTCAGGGGTTTAGGGGTTGAGGGTTTAGGGTTCAGGGTTTAGGTTAGGGTTTAGTTAGGGTTTAGGGGTTTAGGATTTGGGTTTCGGTTTACGGTTAGGGGTCTTGGTTCGGGTCCTGTGTGGTACAATCTTATAGGAGTCAAGATA